TGTTATTCAGATGGTTCCTGCCAGTTTAGTCGCTGAGTTTTATATAACTACTTGTTTCTACAACTATAAGATATTTAAGTTGATCTTGTTATTCAGATGGTTCCTGCCAGTTTAATCGTTGAGTTTTATATAACTACTTGCTTCTACAACTATAAGATATTTAAGTTGATCCTGTTATTCAGATGGTTCCTGCCAGTTTAGTCGCTGAGTTTTATATAACTACTTGCTTCTACAACTATAAGATATTTAAGTTGATCTTGTTATTCAGATGGTTCCTGCCAGTTTTAGTCGCTGAGTTTTATATAACTACTTGCTTCTACAACTACAAGATATTTAAGTTGATCTTGTTATTCAGATGGTTCCTGCCAGTTTTAATCGCCGGGGAGTTGTAGAAGCAAGTAGTTATATAAAACTCAGCGACTAAACTGGCAGGAACCATCTGAATAACAAGATCAACTTAAATATCTTATAGTTGTAGAAGCAAGTAGTTATATAAAAGTAAGATATTTAAGTTGATCTTGTTATTCAGGTGGTTCCTGCCTGCTTTATTTATTTTTTACAGATCCACGAGATGTTTCCCAGTCTGCCAGAAGAAGTTATCTGCTCTGTCTTGAAAAACAAAGGCGGTAACCAGGAGCTCGCTATCAACATGCTGCTTCGGATGGGAAGCGAGATCTAGCCATGAAACTAAGAACTGGAGGATGTATATAAATGTGTTATAAGTGATACTGCACACCCGTGTAACACACGGGAACTTGAACTATGACAACCCACCACACACACACACACAATTTGTCAATGACTATGACAACCCCCACACCACATATTATTATTAGTTAATGACTATGACAACCCCCACAACACATATTATTATTAGTCAATGACTATGACAACCCACCACACAATTTGTCAATAATTATGATAACCCACCACACAATTTGTCAATAATTATGACAACCCACCACACAATTTGTCAATAATTATGACAACCCACCACACAATTTGTCAATAACTATGACAACCCACCACACATTTTTTCAATAATTATGACAACCCACCACACAATGTGTCAATAATTATGACAACCCACCACACAATTTGTCAATAATTATGACAACCCACCACACAATTTGTCAATAACTATGACAACCCACCACACAATGTGTCAATAATTATGACAACCCACCACATCATTTTTATTGTAGTAATGAAAATTGAACTTTCTGCAGACAGAAAATGTGTTTGAAAACATATTTTGATTTATAACCGTTATTTTGTTAATACTTGTGTATCAGTTTTTAAAGTAAAGTTAAGTAAAAGCAAATTGTCGTGTACTTTAACTTCTACGTGCGAGTTGAATAGAACGATTTAACTTTTATGTCAATGAATATTTGATTACTATAATTATTTATTACATTGAATAATGTGGTATCATATCATGCGAGTCTCGTGTATAATGTTGTATCTAGTATATTAGCTTTGGTGTCGTAGATGCGAGTCTCGTGTATAATGTTGTATCTAGTATATTAGTTTTGGTGTCGTAGATGCGAGTCTCGTGTATAATGTTGTATCTGGTATATTAGTTTTGGTGTCGTAGATGCGAGTCTCGTGTATAATGTTGTATCTGGTATATTAGTTTTGGTGTCGTAGATGCGAGTCTCGTGTATAATGTTGTATCTAGTATAT